TATCAAAAATAAAATTTACTATAGAAACAGAAGACAACAATCAAATTAACTTCCTAGACCTCACAATACATAACAACACAGACAATATTACTTTCAACATTTTCCGCAAACCCACCACCACAGACATAATAATACCGGCACACTCATATCATTCACATAACATAAAAACTGCAGCCTTTAATTTTCTGTTTAATAGACTGCTTACTATACCACTCAACAAAGAACAATACGATGCAGAACTAAATACAATCTTTCAAATAGGCATTAATAACCAATACTCTTCACAATACATACCTACACAATATATATCATAAAAATAAACAAAAACACATCACCAATACAATATACCCACATTACAAAACCAACAATAAATATATATCAATAGAATACCATCAACACATACATTACAAACTAAAAAACGCATTAAAGTCACACAATTTAAACCTCACAACAAGATCGCACCCTACGTTACAAAAAAAAAATACTCAAAAACACAATGACACAAGAACCACACCATCAACAATCAGGCATATATCAAATAAATTGTTCACAATGCAACCGCATATACATTGGCATGACCACGCGTAATATACAAATCAGATTCAATGAACACAAGAAAAATAAACCTCACTCCGCTATAGGCACACACATACAAAATACAAATCACGACATCAACATTAACAACACTAAATTATTACACAAATGCAACAATTACCATAAACTCACCATACTAGAACACTTCGAAATACAAAAAGCACTCAGAAACACCCACACAATCACCACCAACGAAATCACAGAATTCAACACATCACACATATATAATTTAATACCCCCATTCAATAACCTACACATACACGCCACTGCAAACAACATAACCACACTTTAACACTTTATAACCACACTTTACACAACGTTGCTACTAGTTTATCTTCTATGTAAGTTGGATAATTTAATTATTTATTTATATAATATTGGTTGTTTGTGATGTTTCAATTCTACTAATGTTTTTATCATTCAATAGAGTCATTCCATTTCCACTTTCGTCAGTAACACGCAACGCACTTCATGACATGTATAAATACGCTGCCCTTTAAAACCTTGACGGTAAGCACAAGTATAAGATTATGTTGTTTATATAATACAGAATATATTTATAGCTAGGCCTGATGATGGCAATGTTGCCGAAATCGATAGCCATAGAGAAAAAATTATAATATAAACGTTACTAAACTTCATTATATTTTACTCTATTCATAACGTTTATCAAAAATGGAGACGTACATCAAAAATACTAACAAAACCTTTAAAAGAAATAATTATAATTTTTCTATGGCCCGTCCCAGTCTCCGGCACGACGAAAATCTTGATGTTAACCTTTAATTTTAGAAATTCAGCATCCCTCACCGCCAATTAGTTAGCACCTGATGTAATTCTGGATACGAAATAGAAAATTTGATTGACGGAGTCATTGTTATCGTAAAGAGAGTTGTCTCCAGCATAATATTTTGTATGAACAACGTCCCCCGCAAAAGAAACGTCTTGTATGAGGTACCGCTATTTTATTTATGTAAAATTAAAGGTCTAAATCTTTAAGAAAAGCATCGTGCATTGATTGATGTATAAAAAAACCTTTGGACGCCCTTAAAAAGATGAACCCAAGCCTTTTTTATATTTTCCTTTTAGAAAACTTGGGTCACCCTGTATGTGTGAATTTTAATTTTCTTTGAGCGTTAAATTTGGTTGTTGCTTGAGATTAAACGCAATTTCGATCATATTAGTTCAATGTTTTGCATTAGAATATTGGATGTTTAATATTTGTTTAAATAATCGCCTTTTAATTTTTCTTGCTCAGTTAAGGAACATTAGAATTAATTAGGCGAGTGTCTAATTAAAGTTATCTCTTGTAAATCTGGTCGTTGCGATAAGAAGTTTCGTTATCGCTGCGTAAGCTAATTAAGTTTAGATAAGCGGGTGTTTTTTGGCCAACGTAAACACAGATGGCAACGCATGTTGTATTTCCCATTCATCCTCTCTCGTATTTTTCTATTTACTATTTCCTCTCCTCTCCATTTGTTCGAAATTTGAGTCTTTATTGTACTTTTAATCCAACTTACATAAACTTGATTTGAAATGTCAGGTGTTAGCACACCTTACGTGTGTAAACCACTAATAAGCGCCGCCCGCACACCGTCCTTTATCTCAAAAACCGTTGAGTATATAGAAAAATGTTTGGGGTTAAAGGTGTAGATAATTTTATTCCCTACACTTTTTATAATAAGTACAAATGGCATTAAAACCATAGGAAACGAGATATTTGCAAAAAAAAAAAAAACGATTTTTGAGACCTTGACCTTGAATATCTTAGACGCGGACACGAGATTTTATGTGACTTTTGAGACAACTTCCAGAATGACAAAATAAAGGTTTACAGAAATTTACAGCTTATTATCTCTCATTCCGAGGTTGGCCTTATTTTTTGCCTTAAATGACTGGACTACAAATAGAAGCCAGATTAGGAAGATCAGGGCCAACTATAACCTGCACAACATTGGGCTTGGAGGATGGCCCACGTGCATGGTTCTGTGGCAACGGGAGATGAAAGTTTCTGTCAAACACGCATTAGAGTACCTAATAAACAATTATATCGAGTAATTGCACAAAAAGGCAGTTCAATCAGGGCCGTATTACCAATTAGGCACACTATAGGCAGGTGTCTAGGGCCCGGGAAGGATGGGGGCCCGGAAAAATTAAGGACACGTAACGTAACGTGTGGGATTTTAAAGTACACAACACAACAATTTTACACTATAATAGGTAGGGGTAGGTACAGGTACTTTTTGCTTTATTTCTTTACATTAAAAATTTGCACTATATTTATATACCTACTATTTTAAATAATGACTAGAGTGCGAATAAAAATGCATTTATTTTTATAAAATAAGCGCTTATTATTATATGCGTCAAAACGGGCAAAAAAAGGCAATGTAAGCAAACAAATGCACAATCAACCATCCACAGAAAAAAACCTTTATTCCTCAATGATTATGATGAAACTAACTCTAATTAGGTATCGGAAAAACAATTAACAATTATGTATTTCTCCAAATTTGCAATTAAAAAATGTTGCCTTCGGTCCGATAAAATATTTTTATAGACGAATAGACATAGATGTCTTTCACTTTTGGCATATTTTTGACCCGGTTAATTGAATTAATATTTAGAAGGAGCTACGAACGGTTTAACGTATATGCGAAAAAGTAGGTACCTACACAACTGTGCTGGAACACGAGTTATTATAATTTATGAAAAGGGGCCCGAAAATTTCATTGTGCCTAGGGCCCGGACAAACCTTAAAGGCTGATTCTCACTATACATAACGTTTCCGTACCATATCCTTTCCATAACCATTCTATTCCGTAAATTATTATAGGCTACGAAATTGACCTTTAAGTGATATGTGCGTAAGACATTCAGTCGCGCGCTAATGACATTCGCCTTCCATATGTGAACGGAAAGGAGAATGTGTATTAGCGCGCGGCTAAATGTCTTAACGCACATATCACTTAAAGGTCAATTTCATAGGTATAATAATTTACGGAATGGTTATGGAAAGGATATGGTATGGAAACGTTATGTATAGTGAGAAATCGGCCTTAATTCGGCCCTGAGTTCAATCTTTGAATATAAAATTAGGAAGAAGTCTAGCCTAATGGGAACTTGTGGTTCCGTGACAATCGGGGGAGAGGCTCCCACTTTTATAATAATATAATCGGTTTTAGAGCGAATTTATGCTCCCAATTGCGTTTGCACTGAAGATTTCAATACTGTAATCTTTTGTTGGTACGTATAATAGTCGCGCGCACTTTAAATGAAAACGCTGCCGATACCAATTGGGATACACAAAATTTTGTAGAACAAAAATTAGAGACAATTAAATGTACTACAAAAAAGTCCGCGACGGCATATATCTATCTTTAATCGTTTAGCCATATCAATCATTTAAAGTTGCGCATCTTGATTGCGTGGGCATTCATAGTATCTTTGATTGCTTATCACATATTAAGGGTTGAAGATACATATATGCCATCGCGGACTTTTTTGTAGGAAGTTAAATTCTCTACAATTTATCTTTTATAACTTTTTTTGTATCTCTTTTTGTTTTCTCAGCGTTTGTAAAAAAATGTACGCACATCGTAATTTTGAATAAACTTTTTAGTTAAAAAAGAATTTGGCGTAGGTACGACTCGAACCCTTGACCTACATGTTGTTATAATTTCAGGTGCTTTTGGGGGTTCCGGTTGGGATGATCGAAGCGTTGTAAAAATTGAAACTGTCGTTATTTTTTTGACATTCTACTCAAAGCGCAAGGGAAATATGCGAAAATGGGAAATGAAAAAAAAATGATGTTCTTATTTTTATTTTTATTATTAGTGCAATTCACATATTATCGAGCTCCTTGCGGTATAATAAGGAAGGCCCTTTTGACATCTCCGTGAGTTATGAACTGAATTGCATGAAATTCAATATGGGCATAGCTTTAGCAATGCAAAAGCAATGGCAAAAGTTGAGCCTAATCAATTCAAAATGCATAGTGCTCTTTTGGTATCTCGGCCATATATGAACCGAATTGCAAACTTTTTTTAATTTATAAATGTATTTAAATGACATTTGATACATATGCACTTGAAATAAAAGCAAATGTAACGCCATTTTCAAAATTTGGTTTCGCGCATACGCAGTGCCAACTTATTTAGGTATTTATTTATTTATGAACATAACAGGTTACCTCAATAACAATGTTCATGTATTGTTAATAAAAAAACTATTCGAAAACATAAAGAATATAAAAAATATATGTTAAGTTAAGAATATTAAAATAAAAAAAAAACAAAAGAAAAAATGCTGTGAAAATTTTTTTACAGTCCTTGGATATTGTCACACGATCTTTCAAATTGTCTTAGGGACTTATAAAAAATATCTATGGTGTTCTTCCATAAACGCACACTATTATAGAACGCATTTTTGAAATTTTATACATATGCACTTGGAATAAAAGCAAATCTAACACCAGGTTCAATGAGCCATACCCAAGAGCTCTTTGCTATATTTTTTACACAGTTATTTTTACCCATACTAATAATACACTATCAGAAGGGCGCGAAGCAAAGCCCTATAATTCACCAAAAGTACGGTTTGGGCTGGATGTCATTTCACTCAACAAAACCAAATGTACTCTATGTAAAAAAATCCGCTGAATCTGAAAATCATAATCCTCTGGCCGGAAACTCTCGAAATATATTGTTATACAGAAAAAACGAAGAAAAAATGGGAAAATGTTTTTTTTTCGCATTTGACTGCAATTATCTCGTTAACTATCGCCTCGAGTGAAAAAATGAAGAGAAGTGATATTTTTATGATCTTTTCCATTTTTTTCCGGTGAGGTATTCAAGTGAATTTGTTTAGAATCGAATTGTCTATGTTGTAGAGTAGACCATACATTTAGTATGGAACGTTCATTCTTAATTGTTATTGTTTTTTTATGGAGAAATATAAAAAAATGCATTTCCGGAAATTAACAATCTGTTATTACTGAGTAAAATTCAGCCGATCTTTTTGAAAATCCGTATTTGGTCCCTTCTTTTGATAACAAAACAATACGATACGACAAACCCGATCACCGTAGCCATAGCCATTGATTAAATAAACAAACAAATTGGATAACTCTCATAGCGTTCTAAATTTTTGTACAGATGGTGGAACCCCAAAGTAACCTTTTCCAAAAGTTGTCTCGATGATTTCTGCAAATTGACGGACGGATTTCGATGTATTTTTTTAAATTTAGGTACATTTTCCGAGAGGTTTCTGTTCGCCTATTATGGAGTCACATTTCTTGTTATATTTCGGAAATTATTCCATTTGTTAACTAGCAAAAGTCTTCGGATTTTGAAAAAAAAATTTTGACAGTCCATCGATTTGCAAGAATCATCGGGACAATTGTTGGAAACGGTTTGCTTAGGGTTCCACTAGCGGAAAGAATTGGGGGAGAATCTGGGAGTCACCCACTTTGAAAGACAAAGCATGGATTTTTTAATTTGTATTTTTAATTAATCAACGACTAGGATGAATTTTGCTTAGTAACAGATTGTTAATTTTCGGGATTACTTTTTTTATATCTTTCCATAAAGAAACAATAACTTTTGAAAATGAATGTTCCATACCAACTGTATCTTCTAGAAAATTCGATTCTAATCAAATTCATTTCTCTTCATTTTCTCTCAGAGCAATAGATAACGAGATAATTGAAGTCAAATGCAAAAAAGACAAAATTTTCCCATTCTTTCTTCGTTTTTTACGTTTTATATCAATTATACAGGGTCCTATAACACTGCGTCGGTCTTTCCTAATTCATACCTGGTAAAAAAATAGCAAAAAATCTTTTGTGCAAATGTCAACTATAGAATGTTATGCATATACAGAAATTATTTTTGAATGTACAGAGTGTCTCATGTTTACGGTGTCAATACACAGCTGATTTTTTTAAATGGAAC